GTGTCTTCTAGATGTTGGGATAATCAGGGCAATTCCCCTGGCGCCTTTCCCCGGCATGCCAGGGTGCAGCGCGGTAGCCAGCAGCTCCCAAACCCTTCTCCGGAAAAGTTCAAACCCTCAAATACTTGGAATTGCTCTTTGAGGGAATTTATTTTAAAGCCGCTTTAACGGCAGCTGGGAATTACCAGGGAGGCACTTTGCTCTGCAATTTCCCAGCTGCTGACCCTGTTCACATGAAGGGGGCCCCGGGGCAGCCACCCAGCTCGGGGACATGTGCCGAGCCAGGACCGCCTGGAGTTGCACCCAAAACTTCCCTTGTCCCAGGTTGCAGCAAAAGCACAGAGAGGGGCTGTTCTGCATGGAAGGAGCGAGAAAAATTAACTCCCACATCCAGCAGCGTGAGGGCGTGAGCTGGGATGTGGTAGGGTTATTTTTTAAGACCCTGTTCCCATGAGGGATGAAAACTGCATCCAACCATGTTGCTTCTTTCCTGGAGCAAAAGCTGAGCTGAGAGGCTGTGAGCCTCCCAAAAACCAAGTCAACATCCCAACGTGCCGGTGGCACGTTGTTTTTTAAGAAGCATTTTGGTCTTGAAAAGAGTTATTAGGCAAAACCCCTGACAGCAAGTCAGCACTTAAGTGTTGGCAGGACTGCGAGCCACAGGTCCTGCTGGAAGACTGGAAAATGCTACCACCAGAGCTGTGGTTGCTCTTCTTGCAAACCCTCCATGTCCCCATTGCCCTGAGAGGGTTATGGAGCCCTTCTCCTTTCCACATCTCCATGGGGACATCTCGTTCACCCTGTCCAGGCTACCTGACTCAAGCCCTGGAGATGAGGTGGCAGCCCTGGAAGAGATGTAGGCAGGCGGGATGAGTCTAGTGGCAGACAGAGGCAGCTCCAAGCCCAACTGCTGCCAGATGTGAACCCACCTGCAGCTGCCAAGTCACCCAAGACGAAGGGGCCCCCAAAACCACAGGCAAGGGTTGGGCTGATAGGCATCAGTCCCCCCGCAGCGTGGCACCCGTGGCTCTGCGCCGGCTTTCTTCTCCCTGCTGTCATGCTTGAAACACATTTGTGGGAAAACACAGCAGAAAGGAAAGGGTTTGAGTGGCAGTTTGGAGAAGGAGATGGGGGAAGAAAACAACTTGGCAAGGAAGGACGGGCTGAAGGACACAAGTGTTCCCATTTCGGTTTACAACTCCCAAGGGTGCCGCTCGGAGCGTTTATTGACCAACTCGCCCGCTCTCGATGAGCTGGCCTTGCAAACTGTGGCAGCAGGGAGGCTATTCCTGGTCAAGGCGTGTACAACAGCAATGCTTTCTTAACTTAAAACCAACCAGTGACTTGAACGGGACTCAAAACGCACAGTCAAGGACTTTCCTGGAGTGGATCTGGCTCTGCAGCCACTGCACCTGTGGTATCACCTCAAGGCCAACACAAAAAAGCCATCAAGTGCCCTCATGAAATGCTTCAGGGGTCCCCCAAACGGGGGAAAAAAGACCCAAATCCCAGCCAGGCAGACACAATCTGCTCAATAAAATCAAGGTGGACCCCTGACTCCAGCAGTGCAGCAGAGAGGACTGAGTTGCCTCTCTCAGTATTAGAAGGGAAATAATAATCATTGTCATAATAAAAAAAAGTGAGATGCAGCCAGGTCAGGTTCACTAAGGGTGAAAGTCAGTGGTTTGACTCCAAACCCAGCTGTTCTCCCCAGCATTGATATGATCTTCCCCAGCACAAGTCTGTGCGGGAACTCGTCATCCCCCAGTGTTCCTTGCAACACGATAGCACGCCACATCGCCCCCAGCTCCCAAGTTAAACATCTTATTAACTGCAGTGACGTAAAAGAGGAAATCTCCGAGAACTATCGCAGAGATGAGAGGGAACACATTTATCATCAGTAGGCGACGGTACCTCTGCAGAGAGATGTGCACGTAAACCAGCATCCAGCCCCTCCTTCCTCTCCCTCCTTAATCACTCCATGTCATGGGAAACTAAACCTGACATCCAAACAGCCCCGATGCGAGATGCCTGCTGTAAAAATATTTTTAAGACTGAAAAACAACAACAACATCAACAACAAAAACCTTGCCTTCCAGGAACCCACTTGGATACAAACCCTGCGCAGCTGCAGCCACCCTCCGCATTCATCGCGTTCATCCCTCCTGCTTCGGCTCGGAAATCAGGCAGGGTGGGGAAGGGGAAAGGAAATACAAAGACACACACACAAAAAAAAAAAAATAAAGGGAAGGTGGTGGTGGGAAAAGCAGCGATATCGCAGCCGATGAGCCGCGAGAGAGGCTGTCGGCAGAGCGGTCCAGCAATCCCCTGAAATTCAGACGGTCACGTGCATCGCCTGTCTGCAGCCCCAGCGCAGCCCGGGCTCAGCACTTCGCCCAACTGCACACGCAGCACTTCCCCGCGGGGTGCTCTCCCGCCCCACCCATGCCCCCGTCACAGCCGTGCCCGGCAGGTTTTGGCACCGCAAGGTGACCCAGGGCTCCACGCCGAAGCTGCTCGGGCTGCAAAGGTGGGTTCCGGACACGCGAGCGCAGGGCGCGCTGGAAAGCATCGCTGCGCAACCACCCTCCCCCGGTAGCTTCTCCACCTAAATCCCAGCCCTGCAGGCAGTGCTGTCTTCTCCACCACGATGTGCAACAGTGGCCACCTCCCCACGGTGGGGCTGGGGCAGGGGTCCTACTGGCGTGGAGGAGTGCCAAGAACATGCTGTACCCAGCCCGCCCCTGGGCAACCCCGGGCATGTCCAAAACCAGCCCCAGAGCTCCCTGGGCAGTTGTGGTTGCATCAGAGAGCAGTGGGTGAGACCAGACACCTCTGGGGCAAGGTGGCAGCCAGCTTCTTTCTTTCTTTCTTTTTTTTCCCCTTTAATTTTCACCTGGGACATGCTTTGCACCAAAGGGATGCTTTAGACTCCATCCTACACTGCCCCGCAGCAGCTCCTGGGGACTCGCAGCAACCAAGCAATCACCAAAGGCCCCTCTGCAAAGGCCATGAGGCCGAACAGACCCAACTCACCATCCCAACCCCAAAAACCTCCACGACAACTAAAATGAATTTTTTTTCTCTGCTTGCACCCATTCTTCACGTAAATTAGCAAGAGGAATTAGGAGACTGAATGTTCCATGCTGCCTCGGCTTCACCGCCTGCCCAGAGATGCATCGCATGGCACTAAAGTCAGGCAGAGGGACTAAAAAAAGAGTGTGGTTGCTTTTTTTTTTTTCTCGTAAAGCCGGACTGCCTTTCACGGCGACTGTATTTATAGGTAGAGCTGTTGAAATTTTAAGGGCTCCTTGCCACAGGAATCCGGCCGCGTCTCGTGTTCGTGAAGTGGCGTAACTTGGCAAAAATGAACATTCGACAGGCCGATGGGCGCTGCCTCCCTCCCTCGATTTTGGGTTTAATCAGAAGGGAAAAAGAGAAGATGCAAAAATGAGCCATGCACGCCACTGCCATGTGCCACAATCTGTATTTTCCAGATTCAGAGCGTAATGAACACGGGACTTCACACCCGCCCCTGCACCGGCACTTTCCTTTTCTGTCAACGACAAAAAAAAAACCAACCAGCTTTCGCGGGTGTTTATTTTTGCTTTCGGTTTGGCTACCCGTGGCACACACAAAGCCTCCTCTGCACTTTGTTTTAGAGCTGAAAAACCCCAGCAGGGTTCAGCCCCAGAGCGGTAAAACTCGCTCTCCCCGTCCAAAGCCTCCCGGGAACGCCATCCACCAACACGCCGCGGCACATGATGCCCAGAAACCACGCGGTCTCAGCCCAAAAGCTGGCAATTTTCTTACACAACAGCACTGCTACGCCGCTAAAACCCCTTTTTATTTTAATTTATGCTATAAAAGTATGCTACGCCCTGTCCAAAGACGCTTCCACCCCGCCGAGCACGTCTGGATGCTAAACTTTGATTCCCTATGGCAACGTGCGTCTATTTAAGACAAACCCCAAACCATAATTAAAGTTATTGATAGGAGCCCATGTTTACTGTTTGCTATTTTAATATCAAGTGCTGTTGGCTTTCAAGCCACTCATTTCCATGGCTTGCAGGGGAAGATGAAGCTGGAAACATGCCTAAACGTCGGGGGTTTTGACGTTTCCATGGGCACTTCTGCTGTCAAATCAAAGAAATGCACTTAACAGGCCGATCCCAGCGGATGCTTCTCATCCAGGATTGCCTTGACTGGAAGCCGGCAAGTGATTTTTGAGCTATCAAGGCACACACAAAAATAAAACAGCTGTAACAAAAGCTTTTTGCTTCTGCAAGCAGCCCTCTCCATAACCAGAGCCAACAGGGCGATGGCTCGGGACACGCTGGTGACAGGACTATTTCCAGCCTTGTGGAAGCCAATGTTCCCCAAAGGAACAAATTTCAGGTTGCAGCACTTAGCAAAGGTTAAAATATCTTCCTTCCCTTGCCCAAGTGCCAAATTTGGGACTGTACCCCTACTAGCCAGCACCTGGAAGGTTAACTCTGAAGCCTAGTGACAACACAGTGTATATACATCCTGGATGTATATAAATATTGGTGCAGAATATTGGTGGGTCCACAAAGCCCTGAGCTTTAAATCCACCTGCAACATTTTCAACATACACTATGACAAAAAAATTAGTGATCGTTGTAACAGTGGGATTTAAACCCAGCTCACAACAGCGGAGGGAGATTCACGATATTTCGTATTCAAACAAGTCACCAGCCCCATTTATCCCCATTACTCTTTTCCCACTGCTGTGGAATAAATACACGACTTCATGAAGGCTCAGTCTTCTTGCTGATCCTCCTTTAGCCAGAAGGATGCACATAAACCCAACCCAGCAGCCCTAGATGCGAGATCTCCTCGTTTATGTTTCAGCTCCTTTCCACTGAAAGATGAGGCTGTAACTGAATTAACTGGAAATTGGCAGCGGCGCAAACTTGCCAGATTCTAGCTAATTGTTTGGATTAGTAATCCCAGTTGTACGCAAAAATGCACCTTACCTACGGCAGAGAAAGGCACGGCATGGGGTGTCCTCCTGCTAGGTGACCTGCCTGCTCTGGGAGTGGGAACTACTGGCATTCCCAAGCCCCCACCCGCGAAAGGCTTGTCAGCCTAACGAGACATGCTCAAATATCGAATCACTGAATCATTAAGGGTGGAAAAGACCTCCCAGATCACCAAGTCCAACCCTCAGCGCAGCAGCACCACCACGTTCACCACTGAACCATGTCCCCAAGTGCCACATCCACACGCTTTCCGAACACTCCCAGGGACGGTGATTCCACCACCTCCCTTGGAAGCCTGTCCCGAACATGCCCCGGGAGAGGCCGTCCCTGCCGCAGCTGATGCAGCCAGCGCAGCCCCATCGGTCTGACGCGGAGAGGTGGGAAATATCCATG